GGGTACTGCGACGGGATGGGTGCGTCAGTCTGGCCAGAAGCAAGGATACCGCCACACAGTGCTGGTCACTCGTAACGGTCTGAACGACATGCAAAGCCAGCGAGCCAAGATTCCGAAACAAGGATGCCGCCACACAGTGGGATCCAGGTGGTGGCCGTCGGATCCCTATCCTGGAGTTGCTGGTCGTCGTGGACAGCCGATTCAAGAGGATGGGCTGGCATCCCCCAAAAACGTCGGGTAGGGCGTCGGGTAGGGCGACGGGTGGGGCGTCGGGAAGGGCGTCGGGTAGGGCACCAGGCAGGGCGCCGGGTAGATGCTAGCCGTCATGCTCGTGACGCTCAGTGTCGTCGTGCCGGCGCTGGTGCCAGAGCCACTCGTCGATCTCGCGTTCGCACTCGTCGAACTCGTGGTGGTTGTGATAGTCCTGGAGCTGCTGATCGTCGTGCTCATGTCGCTGGTACCGGAGCCACTCGTCGAGCTCGTGGAGGTCGTCGCATCCTGGGCTGCGCTGGTGGCTGCGCTGGCGGGTGCAGGGCTGGCCTGCAGTGGGGCCCATCTGCACGGTCCCGTTGGTCGGAGTCCCAGTGTTCCGTCGTCGTACCCCGACTGGGTGCCAGAATCGCGTTGTAAGTCCCCAAGTTGCTGCTGACGCCGTTCTGCATGACGCAGCCGCACTGCTCACGGGGCAGTGCTGCTCGTGGCGCCCGTCGTGTTGCTCAAGGCGTGCGCTTCGACGTAAGCCGGCGAACGTTACGACAAGGCGAGGGCGGAAACCGTGACACGTCCAGGCGGGTATTCCGTGACATCACGAGGCCCCCAGTGCTGCGAGCGTCATAGCAAACGTCGTGGCGAGTCTGATCGGGGGTAACATGTTGTAGCCCATGTGGGTGGTGGCGGCGTAGGTGCCAGCGAAGGCGCAAGCGTTGATTCCGGCGTCAGTGCTGGCGTGGGCGCGCGCGCAGGTGCTGGTGTAGGCGCTGTCGTTGGTGCTGGCGTCTGTGCTGATGCAGGCGCTGGCGCTGGTACCAGCTGGCGCAGGCGTCGGTGCTGGCGTCGGCGCTGGCAGCGGCGCTGGAGGAGGCGCCGGCGTTGGGGCTCGCGTCCGTGCTGGCGTCGGTGTTGGCGCAGGCGCTGACATTGGTGTCGGGTGTCGGCGTCGGCGTCGGTGCCTGCGTCTGCGCTGGTATGGGCGATGGCATTCGTGCTGGCGTGGGCGCCAGTGTTGGTGCTGGCGTTCTGTTGGCGTCGGCGCTGATGTAGGCGCTGGCGATGGTATTAGCGTAGGCTCAAGCGATAATGCTGGCGTCGGCCATGGTCAGAAACCGGCGATAGTTCTGGCGTTGGTGCTGGCCGGGGTTGGTGACGGCACTGGCGATAGTGCTGGCCTAGGCGCCAGCGTTGGTGCTGGCGACGGTGCTGGCCTCGGCGCTTGTGTAGACGCTGTAGATGGTGCCAGCGGAGGCGCAGGCGAGGATGCTGGCGTCGGAGCCGGTGTCGACGCTGGCGTAGGTGCTGGCGTTTGTGCTGGCGTCGGTGTACGTGCAGGCGCCGGCGTTGGTGCCTGCAGGCGTTGATGCTGGCGTCGACGCTGGAGGTGCCGGCGTTGGAGCTCACGTCCGTGCTGGCGTCGGCGTCGGTGTAGGCACTGGCGTGGAATCAAGCTTGGGCTGTGGATTTCCCACCATTTTTCCCCACATGCTTAGTGGGGTTCTGGTGTTCTTCCCTGCCGCGTCGCACCCGCGTCTCCTCCCACACACACGCACACCTCCCTCTTCTCCTCCTCCTCTTTCTCTCCTCCTCTTCCTCGCCTCGCCCGTGCGCAACACATGCACGGCGCGTACATGAGACACGCATGTATTTACTTATTTAGTTATTTATATATACAGCAGGGGGAGGAGGAACAGGAGGAGGAGGAGGAGGAGGATATGCATGGGAAGGGGGGCGGAGGAACAGAGGGAGGTGCAAAGAGGAGGGAGGGGGAGGCGGGACGATGAGCATTAGAAGAAGGGAAGAGATGAGAAGAGGCAGGAGAAAGAGGTGGACCAGGAAGAGTCAGGACGGGATCGATCCCAGGAGGCGGTGGCGGCAGAAGGGGATGACGACACTGGCGTCGTCGATCCTCGGGTGTCCAGGATCGAGGCTAGCAGGAATCAAACAGCTACGACATGAACGTCAATAAACTTTCGGAGCTCCGCGCGGACTTTCTCGATCTGCACTGGACACCGCTGCGCGGAGCACGCCAGGGGTGGCGCTGGAAGCGCCGCCAGAGGCGGGCCCAGCGCGGGTCCAAGAAATCCGCCCAGAACCACGACAGTTTACGCTGATCGGCGGAGGGGCCCAAGAGAGAAGGCTGAGGGGGCGGGCCTTTTCATAAGGCTCGAAAGGTCTCCAGCCTCCTGAACAGTCTTCCAAGCCTTCTCCGATGGCAATGACGGCTTCTCAGAAGGCACGAGGACTTCTGAGAAGCCCCGCCGCCTTCTGAGAAAGCCTGTCCCCTCTCTCTTCCCCCCTGGACTCGCCGCACTTGATCCTCCTCGATCGCCTACCTTCTTCACCCTTTTCGGGCCTCTGGAGGCCTCCGCGAAGACCTCCGGGAGGACCTCTGGGAGGACCTCCAGACCCAGAGACGTGGGCCTCTGGAGGCCTCGCGAGGACCTCCGGTGCCCTCCAGCCCTATAGGATCTGATACGCCTGGCAAGTTCGTGTTGTGCCGACACCGGCGCTGGTTCCGGACACCGCGGGGATTGATTATCAGTGGCGAGCCCAGGTGGGAAGTGAGAAGGGGCGGGCCATTCTCAGAAGGCTCGAAAGCCTCGGGCCTGCTAGACATTTTCCTGAGCCTCCCCCGAAGACGCAGACAACTTCTTAGAAGGTGGGAGGGCTTCTGAGTGAGAAGGCCTTGTCTTTTGTTCATTTCCCCCCGGGCGCGCCGCCGATTTTAACCCTGAACGATCGGCCGTCGTTTCCGAAACTTCAGATCGTTCAACATCGACCGATTCTGGGTCGCCAGCGGCGATCAAAGTTGAACGCTGGCGGTGGGGTCGCCGCTGGTCGCTACGACGCGAACATGCCGTCTTGTCATTTTCTAGGTCGCCCCGCGATGCGAAACGCGCGGGAAGCTTCGCGTCCTCGCGCCGCCCCCAGGGGGAAGCCAGCTCTGCGAACCCCGGCGCGACGCGCGAGGCGCGATCACCTCTTCGCTCCCTGCGAGTGCCCAAGCGTTGGTCGGCAAGGGGGGCCACAGCCGTCCCAACCTTTTCCCAAGGCAGGCCTCTGCCCCGAAGCTGTCTCCTGACGGTTCCGGGGGCCCCGAGAGGGCCCCCCAGAGGCAGAAGCTGGGATCCACCAAAGGGGGGGGGGACCCTGAGAGGGCGGGCATGAGCTCGATGCGCTGGTGCACCGAGCTGCCGCGAGCAGATGCCCCCCGAATGCCCCGCCCAACTCGGCAGCTGTTGGGAGCCTGCCGGCGGCTGGGGGGCATCTGTTCTGGGCGGTTCGGTGCAAAAGCCGACCGAGCTCCTCCCTCCCTCGGGAGGAGGAGGAGGAGGAGGAGGAGGAGGAGGAGGAGGAGGAGGAGGAGGAGGAGGAGGAGGAGGAGGAGGAGGCACACCCTCCCTTCGCGGGATCCTGAAGACGACACTCTTGCGGCAGGAGGCCCTGGACCGCAGTGGCACGGATGGGGGGCCACGCTGGGGGGCCACGCCGTGCCACCACTTTTTGGGGCCCAGGCTCCCTCTCTGGGTGTTAAGAACACTCTGTAGAACCGTGGCAGCTGGACCACTGCTTCAAGAACGTGAGGGCCTCCACCGGCCAAAACGCCCCACTCCATAAAATCATTCGAGGCCCCCCCCCAGGATGCACCAGAACATCTAACGAGCACGAAGAACACGAGGGTACCTTTCCCGAACCGAACTCAATCTGATACCTCGGTCCGACCGTGCAGACAAGCTGTTTAGGGAACATGCCGCGATGACCTTTAGAAACAAGCTGTCAGGACTCGCAGCCAAGCTTTCAGCAACCCTTGAAACAACTGTGGGTCAAGGGAACGGGCCGATGGATCAACAGGGGATTACGTTCGGGATCCTGCTGCTCTGCGCCCAGGGGGCCATGTGGAAGCAGAGCCCGAACGGTGGGTGCGCGACTCATGTGCAAGAGAGAGCAGCTTCGTTCTCGCTTAGCGCTCCGCGAAAAACTTCGCGCTCTCGCGCAGCCCCCCCCCCCCCCCGGGGAGATGAGGAGGCAGAGGGAGATAAGGCGAGGAGTCGCGCATCGTGAACAACTTCGCGCCCCCCAAGCGGCCCTGGAAAGGCTCCGCCGGGGCCCCAGGGCAGTGTGGCAGTGGAGGGCTCGGCGGATGGTCGGACGGCATCCGCCCCGCAGCCTCTCTGCCTCTCCCTCCGAGAGTTCCCGACCTCTCTCTCTGCAGAGGCCTCCCGGGTGGGGCCCAGGCGGCGCGATCCTCCGGCCCCACCTGCCCCGGCCCCACCCCGGGAGGCTCCGGCCCGTCGAGCCAGGGCCCTGCCCCGGGCAGCGCGCACGACGGACGGATCGCAACAAGGGGCCAGGCCAGGCCGGGCAGTCCGACGAAGGCTCCTCAGCGAGAAGGCCCAGCGTTCTCTGCGCCTCCTCCCCATTCTCCTCCTCCTCCTCCTCCTCTTCCTCCTCCTCCTCCTCCTCCTCCTCCTCCTCCTCCCTCCTCCCTCCTCATCCTCCTCCTCCTCCTCCTCCTCCTCTTCCTCCTCCTCCTCCTCCTCCGCACGGGGCAAGCAGGGGATCGGCGCCCGAGCGAGTCTGCTCACACGTGCGGGGCGCAGAGCCGCGGGGCTGCCAGGAAGGGGCCCCGACACGAGGAGGGCCGGCAGCAGCCGAGACGAGGACGGAGCCCCGACCCAGCAGGGGGGACGGGCCAGGCGCCCCTGCGGGGGAGGACCGGTGCGGTGGGGGCGCGGAGCCGGGGCCAACGCCGCTCGTGGCACCCGTCCCGCGGGCGGCGGCCTGGCCTGGTCCGCGAAAAGGTACAGGTGCAGCAGGGGGCTGTCTGTCCGCGAGCACCTGCGAGGGGGGGGGCGTGCCGCCCGTCCTCGGGTCGGTCGCCCGCCAATTCTCTTGGGATGGTCGCCCGCTGTGGGATTTCTCCTTCACCCGGTGTGGGATTTCTGCCTCCGTGTTCGGTGGGCAGTGTTACGACCTGCTCAGGTCGAGAGCGAGCAGGGGGGGGGCTCCACGAGATGTTCGCGACAAAGCGCGGCTGGCACCTCCTCCCGCGGGCGCGTGCCCCCGTTGTCAGTCGGGCTCCCGCTCCAAGAGCGGTCATTGTGCTACTGTGACGAAGAACGAAAGGGCCTTTCTGGCCACGGCGAGCCTCGGTCACGAACTAAGCATTGGGGGAAACGGGTCCTGAGGGAAACGGGTCCTGGACACTGAGGCCTCCCCCCAAGATAAGATCTTCATCCTGAGTCGTTTTCTGACAGTCCTGGGGCCCGTGGAGGGCCCCGAGCGCCCGAAAACTGAGAAAAACCTCTGGAACCGTTCCCTCAGAACCAGTTTCCCCTATGGCGGCGGATGGGCTCCACGACTTCGATCGGGGGAACGGCCAGAAAGCCACTCGAGTCGAACAGATCCGTTGTGGGTCCCAGGACGGCTTCCAAACCGAACATCAAACGAGCGGGTGCAGGAGTGGCGAAGGGTGACGGCGGCGCTGGGCGAGGGAGGACGGGTGCAGCAGGGGAGGACGAGGGCGAGGAAGTAGGCGGAGGAGGAGGAGGATGAGGAGGAGGAGAAGGAGCAGGAGGAGGAAGAAGACCACTGTAAACCTAAGACTCATCAGCGATGTTGGGATACACCCTCCCTCCAAGCTCCCCCTCCCTAGGCCCCATACAAAAATTCACTTCCACTAAAGGAAATGCCCCGTGGGGGGACAACCGTGAACAAATCCTAAGCGTGCAAAACAACACGCTTCTCAGGACTTCGACGCCACGAATCAACCAGACTGTTGCGTCTTGAAGATCTTGAGTCGTGCCACGACACTCGTCATGGGACTTCAACACAGCGAATTAACATAACTGATGCGCCCTGACAATCCGGAAACATTCAAAAACACCATTTCTGGCAACCATGAGATCCAATGAACCTCTTACATTTGAAAACGAATGTGCACGACACTAAAGCGATAACAAAATTTTGAAAAAGAGCCGCCGTCAATGCTTGAGGCTCTGGCATTTGTTTCAAACGAGTGTACGCAGCGCTGAAGCGAAAACCACATTTTGAAAACAAACCGCCCTCAATCCGTGGAGTTTTTGCGACTGTTTAGAATGAATGTGCGCGGCGCTAAGGCGAAAGCCACATTGAAAAAAACGAGCCGCCCTCAATCCATGAATCTCTTGCAATGTTTTACGCGAGTGCGCGCGGCGTCAGGACGAGAACATCATTTTGAAAACCGAGAAGAGCACCGCCCGCCCTCAATCTGTGAAGCTCTCACAACCTGATAAAACGAGTGTGCGCGGCGCCATGGCGAGAGCCACATTTTGAAAACGAGCCGCCGTCAATCCGTGAAGCTTTGGCAACAATTTGAAAACAAATGTGCGCGCCTCTAAGGCGAAAGCCACATTTTGGAAGCGGCCCGCCCTCCGTCGGTGAAACTTTTGCCCAACCTCGGGCTCATGAATGGTGAGGAATGCTCAAATGAAGCGCCCGGCCCGCCCTTCCGATTTCCCCCGGGGTGCAGCAGGGACAAACTATTCACAAGGGAAAGGAATAGAGGAGAAGGAGGAGGAGGAGGAAAGGGAGGAGGAGGAGGAGGAAGACCAATGCTAAACCTGCGACTCATCAACGCAGTTGGGATACACCCTCCCTCCAAACTCCCTCTCCGCAGGCCCCTGCAAAGGTTCATGTCCACTGAAAGACTTGCCCCGTCTGGGGGCAACCGTGTGAAAACCTTGAAGCGTGCCACAACACCATTCCCAGGACTTAAACGCCACGAGCTAACTTAACTGTTGCACCTTGACGATCCAGAATCGTGCCATAACGCCGTTCCCGGGACGTCAATGACGCGAATCAACATAACTGTTGCGCCGTGGCGATCCTGAACGGTTCCAAACCACCAGTTCTGGCACGTTAGCGGTGGGAGCCAATGCAACTGTTGCACACGTTGAGAAGATATGTGCGCGGCGCTAGGGCGGGAACAACATTTTGAAAACGAGCCGCCCTTAATCCGTGAAATTCTGGCAACCTTCAAAAAGAATGTGCGTGGCGCTATGGCGAGAACCACATGTTGAAAACGAACCGCCCTAATCCGTGAAGTTCTTACAAGTTTGTACAACGAGTTTGCGCGGCGCTATAGCGATAACAGCATGTTCAGAAGGAGCCGCCCTCAATCCGATGAAATTTCGCGCACTTTTGCAACACATGTGCGCCCCGCTCAAGCGAGAACCACATTTCGACAACCCCCCGCCCTCAATCCGTGAAGCCTCTGCGCTTTAGTAAACGAATGCGCGCGGCACTAAGGCGAGAACCACATTTCGAACTCGAACCGCCCTCAATCCGTGAAGACTTCGCACATGTTTGCAACAAATGCGCGCGCCGCTGGGAGAGAACCATATTTTGAAACCTCCCGCCCACAATCAGTGAATCTCCAGCATTTTTTAACGAATGTGCGCGGCGCTAAAGCGAGAACAACATTTTGAAGACGACCCGCCCTCAAGCCGTGAAACTTTTAAAACTTTTCACCACGAATGTGCGCGCTGGGAACCACACTTTGGAAACGACCCGCCCTCCATACGTAAAGCTGTTGCCAATCTTAGGCTTCAAGATCATAAGCGGTGAGCCGGTCCTTTCGACTGTCGTCAGGGTACGATTGGCAATAATTACCTGCAAGGAAGAGGGAAAGGAGGAGGAGGAAGAGGAAGAGGAGGAGAAGTGAGGATGAGAAGCAGGAGGAACAGGGTGAGGAGCAGGGGTAGGAGAAGGAGGAGGAGGAGGACCAGCGCAAACCCAATAATCATCAGCGATGTTGGAATTATCCCTCCCTCCAAGCTCCCTCTTCATAGGCCCCCACAGCGGTTCATGTCCATTGAGGGAACTTCTTCGTTGGAAGACAACCGTTTGAAGACCCTGAAGAATGCCAAAACATTGTCCTCGGGATTTTAACGCCACGGATCAACCTGACTGCTGCGTGTTGACGATCCGGCACCGTGCCAGAACGCCACTTCTGGGACTTCAACACCGCGAACCAACATAATTGTTGCACCCGCATAATCCTGAATCCTTCCAAAACACTATTTCTGGTACGTTGATAATGGAAATCCGTGAAACTCTTTCTCATGTTCAAAACGACTGTGCGCGGCGCTAAGGCGAGAACCACATTTTGCAAAGAAGCCGCACTCAATCCGTGAAGTTCTTGCTAATTTTTGAAACGAATGTGCGCGGGGCTAAAGAGAGAGCCACATTTTGAAAAGCACCCTCAATCCGTGGAGATCTTGCAATTTTTCACAATGAATGTGCGCGGCGCTAAAAGAGAGAACCACGTTTTGAAAAGCGACCCGCTCCCAATCCGTGAGACTCTTTCAAATTTCTAAGACGAATGTGCGCGGCGATAGGTAAGGCGAGAACCACATTTTGAACACCACCCGGCTTCAATCCGTGAAGCTCCGTGCAAATTAAAAAAAAAGAACACGCGGCGCTAAGGCGAGAACCGCATTTTTAACACCAACCGCCCTAATCCGTGAAACTCTTGCACATTCTTAAAACGACTGTGCGCGGCGCTGAGGCGAGAGCCACATTTTGAAAACCACCCGCCCTCCACCAGTGGAACTGTTGCCACTTTTGAAACTTCAGGTTCATGAGTGGTGATGAAGTCTCAAGCGAAACGCCCGGCCCGCCCTAAAACCTGGCCTCGGGGTGCTAAGGAAAACGAATGGAGGAGGAGGAGGAGGAGGAGGAGGAGGAGGAGGAGGAGGAGGAGGAGGAGGAGGAGGAGGATTTTGTCGCCGTCGGTGGACAGTGTCCTGAGGTCAAACTTTGGGCCCCCCGATTCCGTGTGGCCGCTTGACGGCTGGGGGGATCCCCTTGCGGAGGCGTAGGGGGAGGACCAGTGCAAACCGAAGACCCACCAACTATATTGCAATGAACCCTCCCTCCAAGTTCTCTCTCGCCCCTGGAGGAGGGGAACACGAGGTGGGGGAGGCTAGGATCATATCGTGGGCCCGGGGGCGCCGACAGCGCCCGCAATCCCGCACAACGTCTTGACTGCTGCTTTCCAGTAGTTCTGGATTCTACGGGACGTGAAAACGACCACAGCCACTGCTTTTCTCTTGCTGCCGCCTTCCAGCCAGCAGAGGCAAAGCAGTGGTCGTGGTCACTTTCGTGAAGCTTGGCACCAGGGACATGACCACAACCACTGCTTCTCTTTCGGCCGGCTGGAAGGCGGCGCAAACAAGAAGCAGCGGCTGTGGTCATTTTCCCGTCCCGCAGATTCGTCATCCCACGTCAAGGAGGGAGGAGGAGGGAGGAGGAGGGAGGAGGAGGGAGGAGGAGGGAGGAGGGAGGAGGGAGGAGGGAGGAGGGAGGAGGGAGGAGGGAGGAGGAACCACACGGGGGGCGCGGAGGAACCACACGACGCGCGGCACCTCGAGGCCCGCGCGGGCCCTCCGCGGGGCCCGCCGGGGGGGCCAGCACCCATCGGCGCATGCGCCGCGCGCGCCGCGGCTCCGCCCCCGGAGGGCGCCCTCCCACCGCGCAGCGCCCGTGCAGCGCCCTCCCGCGCGGCGCCGCCCCACGCGCTCTCTCGGGTGGGGGGCGCGGGTCGCGTCTCGGCAGGCTGCGGCGGGGCAGCTTCTGCTCGGCGTGCCGCGCTTCGGCAGCCCCCGCGACCATGCCACGCCCTGGGAGCGGGCAGCGCGGCGCTCCGCCCCGCGGGAGGCTGGGGAAAGGCTCGGGGCGTGGACGCCTGGGGACTGGAGCGTGGAGGGCGTGTCGGCTAGACGTAAGAGTGACCTTTCGCAGGAGTGGCCTTTGGTGCGGGCACTGATGGGTCCCCAGATGGCCGAAAACGAAGCAGTAGCAGCTGCTTGCGCGCCCAGGTTTGGTCCCCCCGCGGCCCCCCAAAAGCCGCGCACCAAAGGTCACTCTTACCCAGGGTCACTCTTGCGTGAGCGTGTCGTAGCGTGGTGGGCCAGAACCAGCGGAGCGACACGCCATCTTTCCCGACCATCGCCTTCTGAAAAACCGGCTGGAATCCGAAGGGCGCCTGCAGCCGAGGGAACACAAGCGGGGGGGTCCGATAGCCCAGCGCTGATTGGAGCCGCAGGTTTATGGTTCCATGGCGGTTGCAGCGGAGTTGGCGCTGGCGATGGCGACGTGTGAACCGGGCTGGGCGCGGTTGCCAAGGATGACCCCCCTCCTCCATCCCTCCTGGTAGCGTCACAAATCGCACCGGAGCCGTCTTGAATGGCCAGGCGCAACTAATTCCCGAAAGCGGCGCCGGCGCGAATCGTGACGTTGATTCTCGGGCACAGCTGTGCTGTAGTGCGCGGATCTCTTCATCCCTGGCTTCCCACCTCCCGTCCTGGGCCGCCGAACCCTTTATTTTCGCTCGTCGTCCGTTCGTTCGTGGTCCGTCTCTGGCCTCCCTGCCCGCCCCCCCCCCCAGGCCGCGGCTCCCCGCGTGCAAGAGCTAGGGCACGCGTGCCACGTGTTACTCGCCCCTTGCAGGGAGGCGGCCGGGGGGCCCCAGAAAAATCTGTCGTGAGGGGCCGCTCAAAATCGGTCCCTGGACTCCTCCTGGGGTCCACCTGGTGCAATTTCTGAAAACAACCTACGGAGGGTGAAAAAGGCAGACAACATGTCCGAACCCAGAGCCTGGAACCTGCCACCCCCTCCCTTTCCTGCCTGCCGGAACCAATACTGGGCAACCTCAGACCTCCAGCCGGCTCCTACCCGCACCCTTCCCCCCCCCCGCCAGTGACGGCCGTTCTCGCGAGAAGACCAAAAACGATCAGGCTCCACCGGGGGGCGTTACGGGCCTTCGAGAGCTGGCCGCGCGGCACGCCGCGGGGAGCGCTGCCGCGTCCGCCGTGGCGCTAGCAGCGGAGGGTTTATCCCTAACAAGGGTCAGCCCTCCTCCTCCTCCTCCTCCTCCTCCTCCTGTCGCTGTCGCCGTTGGCCTCGGAGTTCGTTTCGGACGCGGCCATGTCCCCCCCCCCCCGGGGCGGCCGCCCTTTTGGGGGGGGGGGGGTCGAACCAAGGTGCCTGCCGACCGTGCCGAACGCGCCGCGGCGCTCGGCGAGTCGCTCCGTAGGCCCGCAGGTCGTGGGGGTACCCGGAGGCGAGGGAGACGAGGACGAGAAGGGAGCGAGGAGGAGGCGAAGGGAGCGCGGAGGGACCGCCCAAAGCCCCGGAGGACCCGCAGGGGGCCCCCTGGGAGGAAGGGAACTCTGGGGGGGGGGGGGGGGCGTCCAGGCCGCGGGCCGTGGTCCCTGGAGAGCTGTGGCGTACATCGACATGGCAGAAGTCGGTCTTGCCCCTCCTCCTTCCTCCTCCTCCTCCTCCTTCTCCTCCTCCACCTCCGCCCTCTCCGCCTCTCTGACCTTTCTGCACCTCCACCACATGTTTCTTTCCCTCTTCCTGCACATGTTCATTATCCTGTTCTGCCTCCTTTTCCACCTTGTGCTCCAGCCCCCCGTCCCTCCCCCCCGCCCCCGCGCCTCGGGGACGCCTGTCCAGCTGGCCGCAAAGGGGGGGCAGGCCATGCTGTAGGCTTCTGAGGGCGGCGTTCGCCTCGTGCCGGTGGTGGAATGGGGCCCGGCCTGGTCTTCAGCTGGCTGGCGGCGCGCGTCGGTCAGAGGCGCGCGTCGGTCAGAGGCTCGGGCTGCCGGCGGCTGCGCGCGGCCGTTTAATGCCGAGGTGCCCGCGGTCTGACGGCTCACCCCGAACCTCCGCGGCCTCCAACGCAGTGCTCCACACCGCTGGTCCGCGACGAAGAGCAAGATAGAGGGGTCCGCGCCGTGCTCTTCGCCAATGCTTCGCCGGTGGAGCGCCAACCCTCGTGGGCAGAGGGGGAGGGATGCGGGAGGCAGATCGCGTGAAGAGGCAGAGCGAGCAAGCGTCGGAGGAGCGCCCAGGGCCTTCGCGCCTGGACAGGGGGCCAGAGACGGGGCCGCGGGGGGCGAGCGTTGTCTTCGCGCCCCCTGCTGGCCAAGTGGCAGGATGGAGGAGGTGGCCGCTCAGAGATGCGACGCCTCTGGCCGTCTTTTACATTAGTGGCGGCTCACCACCATGGTGATGACGTGTAGTCCAACAATCGCCCCAGCATCGGTTGCGATGCCGTGCCGCGAGCATGGGGTTGCCGGTGTCCGAACTGGACTGGTCCTCCTGGTATTCCTCGTTTTCCTCGGAACCCTCCTCTTCCAGCTCTTGCGCGCGATCCGATCGTTGATCTCCCTCGAGTCCTCCGCGCGAGAGACGGACATGTTGCGCCGAGACGGCGGCGTGCGTCGCGCTGCGATGCCGAAGATGGGGTTGTGGTCAGCGACCCTGCCCCGCGCGCCGCTGTGTGGCACCAGGCCAGCCGCCCGCGGCTCAGGCTCTGGTTCCTGGCGTTCCCCTGCGCCTTCCCCATCTAGCTCGTCCGCGCAAGAATGGATGTCCCCCCCGGTCGGCGGGCTGGCGGGTGCACGAGTCGTCGAGCTGGCCAGCGGCCAAGGAATCAGAGACCTGGTCGGTGCTCTGGCGGCTGTTCGAGTCGGCGACCTGGTCGTCTGCAAGTCCCTGTAGGCGGGCTCGCGGGCATAGATGGTGGGCAGGCGCGCGCGCAGGCCCTTGGGGCCACCCGCTGGACCAGAGGCCACCCGAGCCGATCCCCTTCAAAGGCCCAGGCCCCGCCAGGGGCCCGTGATTCTGGTCATCAACGTGCGGCGCGCCGCACGCAAAACCACCACCCTGCATGGCAAGGGATGTCGTTTGTCTGGTCTGGCGGGGAGGCCTGCTGCTTGTCACGCAGCTCGGCTTGGCGTTCTGCCGCCCCTCCGCTGCCCGCTCCAGGCGCCGCACGCCTGCTCCCCTGCAGCAGGCGCCGCAGGCGGGCGAGCCCAGAATCGAGTCGACAGGTCGGATCACGCGTCGGATCGGTGGGCATCGGCAGCCAAGTCGGGCGAAGTCGAACCGGCGGAAATCGGCAGGCTAGCAGGGCCCGCAATGGGAAACCGGAATCCAGATCGGAATCCCGAATCGACTCGAATCGGAATCGGAGGCCGTCGAAATCGAGTCGAACCGAATCGGAGGAGTCGGCGTGAGCCCTGGCAGGCAAGGCATGTCATGATATCCGCCGATCTGATCTGCCCATTTGTCCCACCCGCGGCCCCTTCGCCCCGGATTCGTGTTCCGTGGGTCTGGGGCCCAGAAGCGGCCTCCAAGGGCCGGCATCGAGAACAGCCACCCGGACAGAACATCACATTGTCGGAGATCTGGGCCCTCCAGGCGCCGCATACCCGCCCCTGCTCCTGCTGCCGGTCCTCCCTCGTGCCTCGTGCCTCGTGCCTCCTCCTCCTCCTCGTCCTCGTCCTCCTCCTCCTCCTCCTCCTCCTCCTCCTCCTCCGCCTCTGCCTCCGCCTCCGCCTCCTCCTCCTCCTCCTCCTCCGCCCCCTCCTCCTCCTCCTCCTTTTCCCCGTCCTCCATCTCTACTCCCTCCTCCTCCTCCTCCTCCTCCTCCTCCTCCTCCGTCTCCTCCTCCTCCGCCTCCTCCTCCTCCTCCTCTTCCTCCTCCTCCTCCTCCTCTCCTCCTCCTCACTCCTCCTCCTCCTCCTCCCCTCCTCCTCCTCCTCCTCCTCCTCCTCATCCCCCTCCGCCTCCTCCTCCTCCTCCTCCTCCTCCTCCTCCTGCCTCCTTCTCCTCCTCCTCTCCTCTCCTCTCCTCCGCCTCCTCCGCCTCCTCCTCCTACTCCTCCTCCTACCTCGTCCTCCTCCCCTCCTCCTCCTCCTCCGCCTCCTCCTCCTCCTCCTCCTCCTCCTCCCCTCCTCCCTCTCCCTTTCTCCTCCTCCTCCTCCTCCTCCTCCCTCCTCTCCTGCCTCCTCCTCCTCCTCCCTCCTCCTCACTCCTCCTCCTCCTCCTCTCCCCTCCTCCTCCCCCCTCCTCCTCTCCTCCTCCCCTGCCTGGCGGTGGTGTGGGGGGGGGGGGGTGGCTGAACCCGACCCCGAGCGCCTGCACGGGCCCAGCAGCCTCTGGGCGTTCTTCGGGCGGCGCAGTGGACCACACCCTCTGCGGTCGAGAGCTCGCAGGGCGGCCTGCTCGCGAAAATCAACCCAGACCCCCCCCCCCCCTCCTCCCTCCTCCTCCTCCTCCTCCTCCTCCTCCTCCTCCTCCTCCCTCCTCCTCCCTCCTCCTCCCTCCGCCTCCTCCTCCGCCTCCTCCTCCTCCTCCTCCTCCTCCTCCGCCTTCCTCCTCCGCCTCCTCCTCTGCCTCCTCCTCCTAATCCTCTTCCTCCTTCTCCTCCTCGCCTTCCTCCTCCTCCTCGCCTTCCTCCTCGTCCTCCTCCTCCTCCTTCTCCTCATTTTCCTCATTTTCCTCATGTTCCTCCTGTTCCTTTGCGTCGTGACAGCAGCGACGACGGACGATTTTTCGCTGCTTTCGGCCTCTGGGTGAGCTCAGCGGGCCTCGGGACCGTCCAAAAACAAGTCAGGATGAAAAGCAGGTCCCCAAGAAGGGGTCCAGACCTCTGGGGGTCACGTAATGCAGAAATGATGACGTCGGGGGTGCAGGATGCTGGCGGTGACTTCACGAGAGCGGCTCGCGACCCACAGAAGTCACTGTCACTGTAACTTTTCCTCTGTCCCAGGATGCAACTCCTGGGAGGTCTTCGTAAGAATGGCTAGGGGCTGGTGGGCCCTAGCCAGCGTTCTGCAGCGAAGGTGCTGGTGGGACTCAGCCGAAGCCAGCGCAAGAAGGCTAGTTCCGTCGTGCGCAATGGCGAGCAATGGGAGCAAAACAAAGCACGGCACGCAAATTGCGTCGCACTGGAGGAGCCCTCAATGAGAAGCTGTTCGGGTGGAGCAAACGTGCAAGTGGTGAACATGTGCAACGGACGAAGCACTGCTGCATTCTTTGACCCCAAATCTCTGCTCTCTTTACTGTCAGCTCTCTGACCTCTATTCTGTGTACCGTACCCTCTACATTTGATATGTATCCATCCTCCTTCTACCCATCACTCTCTCCTCTCCGCCCTCGAATGTCTGCTCTCCTCTCTACTCTTTACTCTCTGCCTTTTGTTATCTTCGTCTGCATTCTGTGCTTTCATCTGTGCTTTCTGATCTTCACTCTCTATCCTGTGCTCTCTGCTCTGCCTCTACACTCGTTGTCCCAAGAACCTCGCCGCTCGCCGCGACCGGAAACCCACGAACACAGGA